CGAGGGGCTGCTCGGCGAGTTGGGCTCCGAATCCCTCGGGACCAGCTTCAGCCCCTCGCAGCGGTCGCGGAGACGCGCGACGACGACGGCACTATATGCGAAGCATCAACAATATACTGGCGTCGCTGGAGGCGGCGCCGGGAGGCCAGTATGCAGTCAGGTACGGAAGACGATGGACGACTTCTGCAAGAGTGCTCGCTACAACCGCAGGGCTGGCGAGCGCACGACGGACTACGTGGCACGCTTCGAGGAAGGCGTCCAGCGGCTCGATGACGATGGTGTGAGGTTCGCCGACCAGGACGATATCTTGGGATGGTGGCTCCTGGAGAAGTGTTGCCTGTCCACAGAGCGCCGAGAGCGACTGGTTTCGCACTTACCAGAAGACAAGTACGCGTGTAAGGACATCAAGACGATTGAGATCAGAATCTTCCCCGACCTGCACACAACAGAAGCGAGACGGTCATTGCCTCAGCGGCAGCAGCAGCACCACCGCGGACATCGACGGTTCGTACCAAGAGCTGGCTCTGGCGCGAAGGGTATGAACGCCACGGAGCTCGAGGAGCTCCGCGAGTACGACGACCACAGGCTCGACGAGGAGACGGGCGAGCACGACGAGGTCGGCGAGGACGGCCCCGAGGTCAACGAGGTGGAGGTCTCAGAGATCCAGGGCTTCGTCCGCCAGGAGCTCGAGGCCCTCGCGACGGGGCTGAAGGACGCCGAGGTGGACCTCTCGATCAAGCGCGCGGCAGGATACAGGGTCGAGATGGTGGTGGCAAGGCCAAGGGCAAGGGCAAGTCACGTGGCCGCGCTACCTGGCCGCGGCCCACGCGGCGGTGGCGGCAAGGGTCGGAAGCTGGCCGAGAAGCGCAAGCAGCGCAAGCTGAACTCGACCTACAAGGCATGCGGACTCCAAGGGCACTGGGCAGGCGATCCCGAGTGCAAGGCGCCACGGGCTACGCTGGTGACGACGGCGGGCGACGACTTGGACTCGGGTCATGACGCCCTGGCCGTGGAGCGGTTGAAGGATAGAGTTCGAGAAGCAGATCCTCCGCAACGAGCTCGTGCGCAGGTTCAAGGACCACCTCAAAGGTGTGGTCGACACGGCGTGTGTCATCTCCGTGATGGGGGACGTCTTGTGGGAGGCCTATCGCGAGGTGCCACAAGAGATCGGGATCGACCACCTGGTCGAGAGCGAGCAAATCGCCGAGAAGTTCAGGTTCGACGACGGCGGCACCCTCATGTCCTACGAGGCCTTCCGGTTCCCCGCCGTGGTTGCAGGCATGCCAGTTTTGGTCAGGGCCTGCATTGTCAAGAGCAAGAAGCTCAGCCTGCTGCTGGGACGTGACTTCCTGGAGGCGATTGGCGCGCATCGACGTAGCGCGCAAGAAGCTCACAGTGGGCTCGGGCTCCCAACCGCTGCTGGACTCCGAGGACCACCACTTCGCGTTGGAGCTGAATCCCGAGAAGTACAAGGCCCTCTCCGAGGCGTACACTGGCAAGGAGGAGCTTCCGCCCAAGCTGGGCCACCGTGCCCGGCCTTCGCCTCCCCCGCGAGGTGGCATGGGCACTCTGGTCCTGAGAGTGTTCGCCACTGCTGCTACCATCTGCTGTGCCGAACCTGGTGGGAACGAGAAGAAGAGTCCCGAGGTCAGTCGGATCTCCGGGGCCAGCGCCAAGGTCAGCGTCACGGAGAACATCGAGCTGGACGGATATCTAGCAGGCACGAAGGACACGTGGGTCATGACGCAGTCGAGCTCCTCGGCTGCGGTCACCCCTGCGGGGTATCAACTACATGGAGCAAGCCCTGGGTGTTACAAGACCTCCGACCTGTTCGGGTGTCAGGTGCGTGGCATGGGTGCATGCACGTCGTGACGGGGGCTGCAGTGCGCCAGGTGCTAGCACGGAGCCGGCCTCGAGACATCTGCGGTTGGCGACAAATCAGCGGCACGGCAGCTCAACACAAGGCGGGAGTACGGCAAGCCAGTGCACTACACGAGCATGGAGTGAAGCCATCCTTCGTGAATAAGGCGTTGAACACACACCTGAACGACACCATGATATCTACAGCCACGAGGGGCACGAGAAGTACCAGACCTAGGAAGCCAGGCAAGATGGTCGAATGATGCTGCGAGATGGACAACCTCATGGCTCAGGTCTGGACCGCGTCAGGCTGAACAGCATACCGACTTGGACTTCCAGCTGAGGACCTACGAGGACACGAACACTCCAAGAAGGCAGGCGACCTACTGGAAAGGTCAGGACGGACGCGCGGACGTGCTGTGGGGTAGCTTACCATGCAGCACTTGGACCGCTACCTAACTTCATGAAGAACAACGCCCGGCTGGCCAGTGACCGGGCCGAGTGGGCACATGATCAGGCTGTTCATTGAGGAAACGAAGCGGGCCCTGAAGGCAAAGATGCCCAAGCGGCATCCTACCGACCCTGGGAAAGTTTTCTACGCTCAGGACTCTATCTACGGTACCAGAGATGCTGGCCAGGCCTGGTGCAAGCACTTGAGGGCCTATCTCGATGAGAAGGGCATCTTCGAGTCAAGTTCGAGCGCGGAGTCTACAGGCATCACCTCAATGGGGAGCTCAAAATGGTGATTCACAGCCACGTGGACGACAAGCTCGTTGCCAGGCAGGCGGACTGCCTGGAAGCCGACCAGATGCTGGGCGATATAAAGAAGCACCTAAACTTGGAGAGGCGCGATCGCGAGTTCGAATACTGCGGCATGCACATCAAGGACACCGAGAGCGGGATATACGTCACAAGGCCTGGCCCTTGCTGTGTGACAGATCTGCTCGACACAGCACAGATCTGCTCGACTGCACGGATCTGCTCGACTGCCTTGATACCCTTAAGGCATCAAGGCAGTCGAGAGAATCCCGCTGACCTCGGACCGAAGGAAAAACCAAGACGGGTCGGCGGCTGCAGAGGAGTTGAGCGCACTCGGGAATACCAATGGCCAGCTCCAGTGGCTGGCCCACCAGTCTAGGCCGGACTTCGCCTCCGACCAAAACAGGCTGGCTCAATGTACGTCGGACTTGAAAGTAAAGGACCTTATCGACGCCAATAAACTCGCGCAGTATGCGAAGGAGAATATGGAACACGACCAAGTGTTCAGGAAACGTGTGGTGGACATCAAGACGGCCGTGGTGTTGGCATATGGAGACCTATCCTTCGCGAACATGCCGGGCGAGAAAAGCCAGGCAGGTGCAGTCTTGTTGCTGACCAACTCACCCCAAGACGTGCGTGGTGCACGGCCAGTTCGACAGGCAGGCGCCCCTGGTGTTGGCGAGCTTCGTGTGAAGAGAACGGTGCGATATACTTCGGCGGCCGAAACTTGCAGCATCAGCGAAGCGATGGAGCACGGCCAGTTCGTACGTCAGTTTCTTCAGGAGCTATATTCGCCGCCAACCCCAAAGCTGAAGAAAATCGAGACTCTGTCTACCTCAAGGCACATCCTCGTTGTGAGCGACAGTGACAGCCTGAAGGCGACAAGAACCCCACTCAGGATGTAAGGAAAAAGCGGGAGCGTTTTCTGACAGATTCTACAATCCAGAAATAATGTCCGGGCGGTCCGACCGACGGGCGCGGCCGGCTGATTCACGCGCCGCGCCGCGCGCGATTGGGCGCAGCGCGCGCCGCGCGTTGCGCCCGCGAACAGCACTCGAAGGGGCGACCTCGAAAACAGCGCCACGGCAGCTGCGACTGGCGGACTCCCCAAGAGCAACACAGCATGCAGCTTGGAACCTTCGAGGGCGCTCCGACGCGCGAAAAATGCATCACGAACATCACGCAAAAAAGGGAATGCGCTCGACCATTCGTCCCTGGAGCCCGCGCGGGAGAACAGGAAAACCAGAAAATCTGGTAAACTATCAATATCAATACTTCATGCTCCTCTGACTGCAAGCCACTCACGCTGAGCAGCACGGTGAGCTGTCAAACGCACAGGCTGACGGTGGTCACAACGATGAGCCTCGCGTCCCGCCCGAGCGTGTCGCAGCTGATCTCGCACACACACGTCTCGGACCGAATCCGACGGGCGACCTCCTCGATCACCTCTGGGTCGAGCTCGGTCGGGGGGCAGGACACCTCGACCTTCGCCGCGGGCGCAGCGGGAGCGGTCCACGGGGCAGCGCCCTCGGGCGGTACACTGGGGCCGCCGGACCACTGCCTCTCAGCAGCGTCACGCAGGATGATGGTCAGAGTGGTCAGAATGACCCCGATCACCGACTGCAGTCGGTGCCCGAATCCTTCGAGCCTGGATGACTGCAGAGAGCAACAAACGATGTGGATCGATGAGACCGACGCACCAAACCCATTAAGTCATTACTGTACACGCACCCCCATGAGATGAATAAGGCCTCGAACAATGAAAACCCAAGGAATGGAGCTTACCTCTGCCTGATCCCCCAAAAAGGTTGGCCTCCATTAGCAGGCGAAGAAGGCGTACGAGAAGTGCCAGAGCAAGCCAGCCATGCCGGCAGGTCCAGCCACAGAGACACTGAAAACTAGGGGGGGAGTGGGGGGGGGGCCACGCCAGCTGGCCCCGCGCAGGCAGCCTTACCCCAAGGAGAAACAAGGTACACCTGACCAGGGGCTGGAGGAATGCGGTGGCGAGGGCACGGCCAGAAAGAAGACTAGCTGCTCATCCTCCTCATCATCCCCCTCGTTTTCATCCTCCTTCCTGATCGTACTCCGTATCCTCCTACGCCTGTTCATCCGTCTGATGGTCCTCCTTCTCCTATGTGCAACAACCACCCTTTCCAATTGTGCAACAAACGATGGTCAAAGTCTCCAATTAGGGCATTCAGGGTCTCGAGGACCCCCCCGTCGACAGATACAAAAGGATTCAACGAAATGGGAGGGGATCGGCAGGAGGGGTAGAGTGTCAGATGTGGCGCGAGTGCACCTAGCTTGTCCTCTTCTCTCTCTCTCTCTCTCCCTCCTCCCTCCTCCCTCCAGCGGCCGTCAAAAAACCAGCAGAAGGGCACATGATCCAATTCCAATTCTCGCCGGTCATGACCTGGAAAACCTGGCCGAGAGCACAAAGGACTCTCGCCGCCACCACTCGGCAACCCCTCCTGCATGGCGCGAAGCCCCCCCCCCCGCGCCCACTTACGATCGGACCTAGGACAGAAGAACATCCTTCAAGAACATGAGACCCTCCGCCAGCCCAAGCCGAAGAACATTCGAGGGTGCCCTCCCCCAGGATGCGCGAGAACATGCAACATAACACGAGGAACCTTAGGACACACTCTCCGAACCGACCTCGATCTCATACCTCGGTCCGGCCGTACGCGGTCCCTGGCCACTCACCACCCTCACAGCCACCGGCCAGCGTCCAAAGATCCGTGCTTGGCTGCACCCCCTTCGCCCTCCGCGCGGGGAGAGGGAGGTGATGGGGAGGGGAGGGAGACGAGCCCGAGGTGTGGAGGCGAACGGCGAGGTAAAGGCTGATGGAGAAGGAGAGGGAACACAGGGATCACGGCCATCGCGTAAGCCAAAGCTCGAGGCTCAGCAGCTGGAAAAATAGTCGTGAGCAAGAGGGGGAGATGAGAGGGAAGGGGAAGGTCAGTGGACAAGATAGGTGCGCTCGCGCCATATCTTACATCCTACCCTTCCCACCCATTCCTTCGCATTGAGCCGATGTTTTATCTATCCGCGGACGCGTGTCATAGCGGACCTGTAAGTGTCAAAACGAACTCAGTACGTGATGCGCAATCGGAAAGGAAGAGCTGAGCAGGAGGAAAAAGAGGAAGATGAGGAAGGAGGAGGAGGAGGAGGAGGAGGAGGAGGGGGAGGAGGAGGACGACGACGACGAACAGCAGCATCGGCGACTGGAGTGGAAGGAGCGGTAGGAGCAGAAGGACCAGGGAAAGGCGGAGGATGAGAAAGGATCGGGCGACAACGATGATGATGCGACAACGATGAGAAGACAACGATAGGACTCAGATCCACAAATGTGGCCCACGCTGGGGCGAGAGCGCCATGCTGAACGACGGGAGCAGAGTGCCGATCCGAAAATGAGGCCCACACTGCAGCGGGAGCACCATCTAGAAACACCGAAAACACTCGGATGGTAAATTAGAGGGCAGCAAATCCACGCTCATAATCCCACCAGCCCTTTGGGCGACAGGTGGTCTAACGAGGGTCTCGTTCCTCTTCCACAACCCCTCTTCCCTTCGGGGAGCGGAAACCGCCCACTCCCCTCCTTGAGGTTTTTGGGGAGGGGGTCGCGATGTGTCGGAGGCTCCCTCTTCTGCCATTGGGAGGGCCAGGTTTGGCCACCCCTCACGAGGATCGTGGCCCGGATGGGGGACCTAAATCGAGTACCCCCCCCTCTTTTGACTCTTCGGGGAGGGGAACCCTACCCCCCCTCCCTGATGTTTTCTGGGAGGGGGTCGCGATGTGTCGGAGGCTCCATGTTCTGCCATTGGGAGGGCCACTCTCTCACGAGGATCGTGGCCCCCGAGGGGGGGACCTAAATCGAGTACCCCCACTCTCTTGATCGACCGCCACCAAGATGGCCCCAAGAGGCCCGACAGGGCTCTCCAGAGGCCCCAAAGAGGGCTCCACTAGCGCCCCAAGAGGCCCCAAGAGCGCTCCAAGAGGCCCCCGAGAGGCCAAGCGGCCCCCGACTGGCCCCCAGGCGGCCCCCAAGCGGCCAAATCTAGTACCCCCGCTCTTTTGACCGACCGCCTCCAAGATGGCCCCAAGAGGCCCTCTGGGGCTCCCAGGAGGCCCCCCCAAAGGCCAACAGAGCGCCTTAAAAAGCCCGAGAGGTCTCCAAAGGGCACCCGAGAGGCCCAAGGCCCCCGAGCGGCCCCCGAGGGGCCTTAGAGAGCCCACGATGACCTTCAAGATGGCTCAAGATAGCCCAAGCCAGCTCCAGATGGCTCCCAAGATGCAGAGGCCCCAAGACCGCCCCAAGACTGCTCAAGATGGCCACGGAGCCTCCCCAGGATGCTTGAGATGCAAAAATCCTTCAAAAACGTTTCGAAAATCAATGAATATGACCTTCTCGCCGTTTTGCGTTCGATGGACTTTTGGGGCCTCATGACGGCCCCAAGAAGGCTCAAGATCGCGTGGAGCAAAACACAAAACAAGCGTTTCAA